GAACAGCATGCATAGTTCCTTTTGTACCAGGTGAGGAGTATCTTCAAAACAAAAGTGTGGGCCACATTAGTTCTCAAAGGAGTGGCTTGCCCCTGCCTTGTTGAACAATGTGCCTTAGGTATATTTGAGGACAAATGTGACGGCCGCCTTTTAGAGACAGGATTTCCTATGGTATAAGTCAGCAGCTGAAGCTTTGGGTTTCCTGAACTGTGTGGTTGCTGTCTTTAAACAGTCACAACTAAGCACAATGATTAACAGCTCATTGACATGTATAAACAGTCACATATTTGCCATTGTTTTCTGGAAGCAGTTTCTACCAAAACTTTTTAGACAAAGGATTGTGCACTGTTGTGATTGCCTTTATCTGCATAATCTTGTGACTTCAGGGGGAGAAGACAGCAACTCCTCTAACTCTATGGAGATGCCCTGAGTGGTTGTGCCGATTACACCGATTATTGTGGTATAAAAATGGTTCATCTAAAATTGTTTTTGTTGACACTAAGCCTCAGCTGAAACTACAAAATAGTTCCTCGTATTTCTTCTGTGTTTCAGGGGCGGGGGGAGGGAGAAGGGGCTATGGTTATTCCTGTACCTCTCTATCTAAAGAGATCCCTGTGTCTGTGAGGACTTCACCTAGCCAAGGCTGAAAAACTATAAGGAACGTGCAGACCTGGGACAGGCTAAGAAAAGATGCAGATGTTAAAGCACAAGTAATGAATTATAGTAGCATCAGCCCTTGCCAGCAGTAACAAAAGAACCTGGAGGAAGAAATTGGTGGGTGGGTGTGTATATATAGTCCTGAGGGCTGTCTGCCACCACACTGTCAAATTATTTTTATTTTTTTTATTTCCCTAGATACTGCTTTTGTTTGACTACTAGATTTTTATCTATCTGCATGCTCTCCCTACTCCCACCATTCCTGGTTTCAGCCCTCTAATTATGAACAACTGTGTAAAGGATGGTGATAAAGTTCTTCCCTCTGAAACTAGAAGAACTGGCCCAGAATTTAAGTTAGAGATGTCTTCAGATCTTTACCTCTAGTTTTGGCTACTTCAAGTCAGCAGCTGAATGTATCTAAAATAACTCCTCACAGTTGCATATCCCACTCATTTGCGGTTGTACATAAGGATATAAATTTTTTTCTCCACAAGCTCATACCAAGCTTTAGGCTAGTGCCTTTCTAAAACATCACAGCCCGTATTGGCCTTAAAATAAAATATTTAATATTCGGCACTTGACTGTATTTATCTTTGAATTTTAAAAATCACAGATAATAAATGTGGATTAGATCTTCCAATTCTGCATTCTTACTAAATAGGTGCTTTGAGACCTGCTGTAGCTGAAGTACCCCTGAATTGTAGTTTTTCCCATAGGTGTCTTTTTTTTTTTTTCTTAAACATAGAAGTAACATGGCTCAAGTTACAATGGAGCTAATTGAAACAGGTAAATAAATACAGTCAAGTTAGTACAAGTTGGGAGAGTGCCCATATGATGCAGTGGGCAGACTAGGATTCCCCAGCAATAGGGGGGGAAACTTTAGAGAGGAGACCTTAAACATTCTGAGTGCTAGGGATGACTGGACTGTACTTGACTTTGGAAATGAATATTTATGGCTGAAGAGACTGCTTTTAACAACACAACTTATTTCTCTGCTGCTACCTCATAGGAGCTCCAGAAACATTTCTTTTTGTGTGCCTTGTTTCTAGGGGCGTCCATCAGGAGATGCTTTTATTCAGATGAAATCTGCAGACCGAGCTTTTCTGGCTGCACAGAAGTGTCATAAGAAGACTATGAAGGACAGATATGTTGAAGTCTTTCAATGTTCTGCTGAGGAGATGAACTTTGTATTAATGGGGGGCACTTTAAATCGAAATGGCTTGTCCCCGCCACCATGTAAGTTACCATGTAAGTTTTGCATGAGTCTTGCCAATACTCTACGCTGTGTGCGGGTAGGTGTTGGAGCTGCTTTCTTGACTCTGATTCTGGTTCTTGGAAAGCAGTGCCAGATGGGGGGTATTAAAATAAGGTCTTTTCATCTTAAATCATCAGCAGCTTGCAATCATTATTTTTCCCTTTGGTTGTGAATTACTATGACTGGAGATCTACTTTAAAATTACTCTTGCTTTTCCAGTGGCAAAATTCCCCTCCCCTCCCTGACTCTAAAAAGTAATTTGTAAGCCCCGCCTAGAACTTAAAGAACAGTTTCCCATTTAAACTGAGTCATATTTACATCTTTCATCGTGGTGAATGTGTCAAGTAAAAGCTCTTCCCCTTTCACTTCTAAAACTTAATTTATGAAACAATTGGTAATGCTCTCCTTTGAGACTTAACCACAAGTGTTCTGCCTATTGAACCCATACTGACTGAACTCTTCCTTTGCATTTTGTTGTTCCTACAGAATTGAGATTGCCTGTGTGGGAGTAAAATACACATAGTTTTGGCCTCAGAATTGCCGAAACTGTATTTCATGTAAAATTATGCTCATCAGAGCTACTAGGACGAATATGAACTTCTAGACAAATGTTTGGGAGAAATGCTTTAAGACCTTAAGGGCTAACTTACTAAGCGTATGTGCCGTATAGATCTGAGCCTATGGGAAAAATAATACTTTGCTTCCAAGATCATAAATGGCAAGGTAGTCAAGTAGGAGCTTTCTCTCCTCTCTATGCAAATGTATTATTGTCATTGGTGGCTTTTTTAAGTGTCCTCTGAATCCAGAGCTGCCAATAAGGCAGCAAACTTCTTGGGTGTGGTTCCTTTTGAGTGTGAGTAGACCTTCAGGTAATCCTTAGGAGGTAAGTTTTCCAGGTGACTAGCTTTTTTTAATGCAAGTATGCTTCTGAGCAGGGATCTGCACTATGAACTTGGACAGGTTCTTGGGCAGAATCTCAAACACTGAAATCTTAGGTGGCAGTGTCCCCATTTCCAATGACAAATGCCAGTGATTGTATTCCTCATACAAGCCCTTTCTGCTCTCACTACCCCATCCCACAATGTAGCTGTCACTTTAAAGTAAGCCTCTAGTTTTACTATTTGGAGTTATCTAAAGCTTTTATATGTTCACTTTTATGGCACTGGGGAGAGGAAGAGAGAAAAGTGAAAAAGTGGCAAAGGAGGAGGGTGAGCTCTCATCAGTGAGAGTTCATTTAGGGCCTCACATCTTGTTGAAACACCACAAAGTGCACTTTTGGTTTTTAAAAACCAGCATTAACACTTGAAGCTGCAAAGCCATGACTCTTCTCACTCTGCTGTTGGTTAATTGAAGACGGAGCTGTTTTGGGGATAGGAAGTGTCAGGATGAAAAGGTGTCCTCTGCTCTGGGGAATGTTAGGCAGATATTCGGCACAGAAGTTTCCTTCTTACAGTGGAGAAGTCTCTCACTTCTTGATCAGAGACTTCATGAAAATATGAGCCTGGACAAGAAAAACTGGCTTCCTCTTCAGAAAGAGACCTTATTGCTAGAGCAGCATCACTGACTTTGCTTTTGACTGGGGGGGTTGGGCACACTTGTAGTCAAGCTCATGTTGGTGCCTCAGATTTATTTTCTGTGATGAGCAAGAGAATGAGAAGCTTGTGAAGGCTCTTTACTTACTGCAGAGTTGTTCAGCTAATGCAGACCATATATATGCTGGAATTCAAAAGGTCCTAATCTATTTTCCATTTGTTCCCTTTAGGCCTTTCGCCCCCTTCCTACTCCTTTCCGGCTCCTGCTGCAGTTGTGCCAACAGAAGCTGCTCTGTATCAGCCATCCATGCTCCTGAACCCACGAACGCTCCAGCCCTCCACGGCGTACTACCCTGCTGGGGCTCAGCTCTTCATGAATTACACAGCATACTACCCCAGGTAAAGCAGAGGAGAAACCAAGCAGGAACAAAGAAGTCTTTTTGCAGCAAATGCACAAAGCTCACAAAAGAACATTGTCTGCTGTGCTAAAGGCTTGTGCTACCAAGAACAGCTTGTTCGGTATCTTGTTCAGGGGAAACAATTTCAGGATATCTAGGGATTTCCCAAGTTTTAGAGTATTTCAGGTAGTGATGATTTTTTTTTTTAACATAAGTCACACAATTACAGTGAGATTTTTTTTTTGTTTGTTATTTTTTGGGTTTTTTTCTCCACCTAAAATGCCTCAAACATTGTTTGTGCCCTCAATGGGAATTAGTGTGTGCAGTACTCCTTCCCTTGTCCATAAAGAAGACCTTGGCCCCTTTTTAGAAAGGGTGGATTTGGGTCTACCCTAACAACTTCTGAAATTCTGCCTCTTTGGTTTTGTAATAAAGTAACTTTTGACCTTTATGGTAAAAACTCTGTTTACTTATTTATAAAAGCACTGCATTGAAGCATATCTGTATTGAATGCATATGTAAGGCATAAAGAGGCATGTATTCTTCCTGACCTCATAAACACCTCACATGAAGCGCATTTGGGTCTTCTGAATACATTAGTTATCTTCTACAGAACAAAAACTCCTGATACCATTGCCCTCTGCAGTCATGAGGACTTGGAAAGAGCCATGTTGCCTGTAAGCCATAAACCACTCCTCATCTGTCAGGAAACCTGCTAAAGAACTCAAGTCTTCTATTAGATTCTGACCAGTGGATTTTTTTTTTTATCTCTGGAAAGGGGTCCAAATAGTTAATTATGAAGTTGTTGAGCAATATGGACTCTCTAGTGCCTGTAAGATAACAAAGGTTTTCTTATTACTTTACACTAAACTGGTATGTCTGTGAGCTACCTGTTGTGGTTTTTTTATTAAAATGTTTTCTTCACTCATGAGTTAATTTCTATAATGCCTTCAATGTCTGTCTTATGGTTATGATAATGTTACCAAACTCAGCCTCTTTAATGTAAGATCAAGAAAAATAAAATTCCGAACTTGTACTGGCAATATAAAACAAGTTTCTCAGTAACAGTTGTATATGTCATGAGAATGCAGTAGCAGTAATAGTTTGCAGTGACTTCGACATGTTGTACTTCAAGTAGTAATAGACTGGCTACTGCGGGCTAAGCGCCAGGTCCTGCAGAGACCTCTCACAGAATGGGATCCCACATGAGTCCCATCACTGGCTGCTTGGGCTGTGGGCACATATGTTGGTTACAGACTGATCAATTCCAAGTCCCAAAATATCCTTTTTATGGTCTTGTCTAACTGGCAGTTGTATACTATTCTTAGGAAACCATTCCTATGTAGCTTCTGTGTCAATTACAAATACCTCCCTTCAAAAAAAAAAAGTTCTGGAGTCAATTTGGCTACTTTCCATTTTGTAAGATCTGGTGTTTGTATATTGCTTTTCTATTCAGAGTAAATGGTTGATGTAGAGACAAATTGTATATACTCCAATAGAAGTAGTGATCCTTTGTAGCTGATTTTTTTTTTTTTTTCCTAAAAAATTAGGCTTTACTGCTTTTCAGGGAAGTTCCTTTGCTTTGTAAAGGATGCCATAAGTAATTGGGTCTCTTTCATGTAGCAATTGGAACTCTCTTAAATGGAGTTTTCTGGTTCTGAAATTTAGTTCAAAAAAAAGTTAAGTATGTGCAGCAGGAAAGAATGGGGTATCCTCTATACTAAGTGGTGCATTTAAATGCATGTACATGGAAAAGCAATACAGAACTGGTGGCTAATGATCAGACAATGGTTCATAAATCTAACTAGTGAATACTTATGGAAATAAGGAAAGTTCTTTGACCTACTGCCAAAAGGCTCTACCACTTGTGTTTTGCAAGGTCAAGCTGCTTTGTAATAGCCAATTCTGTTCTCTGCACAGTAATCGGCCTAGATGGTGGGGGGGAGGGAGACATTGCTTTGGTCTTCAATATCTATCAGAAATCCCTGACACTGACTTAATGCTCTTATAGCTTTGGTGATGAAACCTGATGGTGTAAAGAAAGGGATACCCTCTATGCTACTAAAATAGCTTTAGTGAACTCCTAATGAAAAGGAGGGAGAGCAAGTTATTCAGGATCTGTCGGTCTTTGATATCTGTTTAGCTTGTAATTATATCTGGCAACATGTTCTGACAGCAAATCACTGGTCTCTGTCTCTGCCTAGTCCTGGGCTTTTGAGGGAAACAAACAATAGGATTCATGGGAGGGAGGAGTTTCTTCGCTTATCTAATCCTGGATAAATAGGTGTACTAGTTGCTGTATGTATGTACACTGGAAGTAATTAACAACTGTGCTACTTAGCAACTACTAACATTCTATTGAAACTTTTACTATACAAAAATTTGAAAGTTACTGATATGGGATATGTAGTTTTAAAACAAAGTCAAATCTTACTCTATTTACTCAGTTCTAATGCCATCTTGATTGCTTTTAGGCACTGCCTTTAAAACCTCAGATGTTTCTGTCAAAATCCATAATTGTAGGAACACAAACGTGTTGTTTCTCAACAATATTTTGAATAGTGAAGTGGAAAGAGGGTCTTCTTACTCAATGGGTAATATGCTGCTGTGACTTGTAGCCAAAAAATGGTGTGGAAGCTGAAAAATGGGTTCAAACAATCTAGATAAATTCAAGGGCAGGAAATTCATTGTGAGTTAGTGAATACACAGAAGCCACATCTGGCTCAGGAAGTCCTTGAACTCAAAATAACTGGAAGACTGTTCTTATGTTCTGTGTCCTATGGTAAACTCCTGTGCTATTGAACCAAGGTGGGTAGGTGAACTTATCAGTTCATATCTTTGAAGTAGTATTTGTTTTGAGAGATACTGGTACTGCTTGGGAGCATGGGTCTCTTCCATTGTGTTTGTAGTTTTATTCAGCTGTACTCGTCTAATAGTGGCTAAGTTTGAGTAATCTTCCTGTTGTGTCAGCATTATTCCAGAGAAACTGGCTGCTCATGGCTTGGACAGGTGTAAGCTTTGCTAGGTGAAAAACTGGCTGAATGAACTCTTTTGGCCAGGCCCAAAGAGTTGTGGTGAATGCTGTTAAATCCAGTTGGTGGCCAGTCACAAGTGGTGTTCCCCAGGGCTCAGTACTGGGGATGGTTCTCTTTAATATCTTTAGCAATGATTTGGACAAGGGGATCGAGTGCACCCTCAGTAAGTTTGCAGATGACACCAAACTGGGTGGGAGTGTTGATCTGCTTGAGGGATTGAGGGCTCCTCAGAGGGATCTGGACAGGCTGGATTGATGGGCCAAGGCCAATGGTATGAGGTGCAACAAGGCTAAGTGCCGGGTCCTGCACTTGGGTCACAACAACCCCATGCAGTGCTACAGGCGTGGGGAAGAGTGGCTGGAAAGCTGCCTGGCAGAAAAGGTCCTGAGGATGTTGCTCATCAGCCAGCTGAATATGAGCCAGCAGTGTGCTCGGGTGGTGAAGGCTAACAGCATCCTGACTTGTATCAGGAATAGTGTGGCCAGCAGGACTAGGGAAGTGATCGTCCCCCTGTACTCAGCACTGGTGAGGCCCCATCTCAGGTACTGTGTTCAGTTTTGGGCCCCTCACTACAACAAAGACATTGAGGTGCTGGACCATGTCCAGAGAAGGGCAATGAAGCTGGTGAGGGGTCTGGAGCACAAGTCTAATGAGGACCGGCTGTGGGAACTGGGGTTGTTTAGCCTGGAGAAAAGGAGGCTGAGGGGAGACCTTATTGCTCTCTACAACTACCTGAAAGGAAGTTGTGGCGAGGTGGGGGTAGGTCTCTTGTCCCAGGTAACAAGCAATAAGAGAAGAGGAAATGGCCTCAAGTTGCTCCAGGGGAGGTTTAGATTGGATATTAGGAAAAAACCTTTCAATGAAAGGGTTGTGAAGCACTGGAACGGGCTGCCCAGGGAAGTGAGGGAGTCGCCATCCCTGGAGGTATTTAAAAGATGCGTAGATGTGGTGCTGAGGGACATGGTTTAGTGGTGGACTTGGCAGTGTTAGGTTAATGGTTGGATTCTGATCTTAAAGGTCCTTTCTAACCTAAATAGTTCTATGTACAGCTCTCTCCATTGGAGTGATTTGAATGAAAAGGTATTTTTGTGTAGTAGTTAAAGGCATAATTCTGATACTTGCTGCACAAGGAAATGCAGGGTAATTTGTTATTCTCATCTGTCTGCTTCTACCTCTTCCTGCTATGGATTAGGTATGGTTTTTTTCTCATCTATACACTTATCAATTTGTATAAGTACTTAGATATATATATATTCAACATACATATATGTTAATGTTATATGCATGCATACATACATAAAAAAAGTGTGTGTGTACAAAAATAAAATGACCCAGGTTAGAAGAAAGCCTTACTTGTTCTCCCTGATGGTCATTGTGGAGGATCTGATCCATCATGGAGAAAAAGTGAGGCTTTTTTCTAGCCTTGGTCATTGATCATATGCATATTGAAGCACAGTTAAACTACAGCCAGTTTAAACTGGCAAAACTTGGAACAAGTGGGCTGGATTAGGAGTGATATCATTCAGAGGTGCTGCCAGCAGCTTTATTTGCGTATCTGTGTGTCTGGCTAACCAGCATCGCTTGACAGAACTGGGTTAGGAAGCAACCATATGTGTATTTAGCCTGGGAGATCTGTCACAGATGGAGAACAGCAGCAGCCAGAAACAAAACCTCTTCATCAGCTTAGTTGTACTCATAGCATCATAGCAACACTCTGGACCGCAGCTCTTAGGCTGTAGTATGCTTTTTCTTTTCTTTTTTTTTTTAATTTTTATAAGTATGTCAGCTTGGATTGCATGAGATTGCATCTGCAGTGCATGGGCTCACTGAGCATACAAGCCTACGGGTGGCTTTCAGTTGCTGTTCAGCAACTGGAGTTCACATGTTTACATCAAGTGGCAAAATTTGGGATTCTTTATCACCTATCCTTGTTCATGGAGAGACGGTCTCCATCATGGATTTGTCAAAATAATCCCAACTCTTTAGTTAATAGCACAAACTTGTCTGGTGGTTGTTTTGGAGGGAAGCCTTAATGATTCACTTTTCTAAGTGAAGGTATCTTGCCATTAGAACAGCAGGGATGCCTTTAAGTACTACTATGTTTCACTGGAGAAGGGGTGTGTTAGCAGGGAAGACTGATTGTTGCATGCCTCCGTAGGCTA